GGGGGATACAACTCAATCCATAACAAGGACTTAGGAGAAGAGTACAAAAACCTTTTCTGCCCCTTTCGTCTCACATAGCCCAGAGTAGTTTGGCAGTGAAGAAAGAGAGTGATTCCTCTCTAATCCTATGCCTTTATCATTATCATTGATGTTGTTGATGATGATCTTCCAGGAATGTACAGGAAACCTACCTACTCAGACCAGCTCATCCTCTTGTACCTGCAGGACGACTCTCCACAGTTCCTCACTGTTTTGAATTAGTACACTTGTTTGTCCAACAAGGATAGAACCAGTTTCTATTTGCTTTCGTGTGGAAAAATATGCTCGAATATTAGTGTCCCAGACTAATTTCTCCATGTACAATGGGACACTTGAATGCAGAACTTAGTTGTTGTTGTTTTTGTTAGTTGCCTTTGAGTCAGCTCTGACTCATGGTAACCTTATGTACAACAGAACAAAATGTTGCCCTGTCCTGTTCCATCTTTATGATCATTGGGATGTTTGAGCCCATTATTGTGGCTATTGTGTCAATCCATCTCATTGAGGATTTTCCTCATTTTCGCCGACCCTCAACTTTGTTGTTGTTGTTTGGTGCCCTCAGGTCGACTCTGACTCATAGTGACCTCATGTATAACAGAACGAAGCATTGTCTGGTCCTGTGCCATCCTTACAATTGTTGCTATATTTGAGTCCACTGTTTCAGCCACTGTGTCAATCCATCTCATAGAGCATCTCCCCCTTTTCCACTGACCTTCTCCTTTACCAAGCATGATGTCCTTCTCCAGCGATTGGTCTCTCCCAATGATGTGTCCAAAGTAAGCAAGACGCCATCCTCTCTTCTAAGGAGCATTCTGGCTGTACATCATCCAGGACAGATTTGTTCATTTTTTGGCAGTCCATGGTATATTCAATATTCTTTGCCAACATCCTCTGCTTTATCAAACATGGTGTCCTTTTCTGGCAATTGGTCTTTCCTAGTGACATGTCCAAAGTAAACGAGTTGAAGTATAGGGACACTATGTTTCTTCCCTTATCTCCTTCTACCTGTGGTCATCACCAGTAACTCATAGTTGCTCCCATCTAATTTCCAAAAACAAGCAAACAAACAAACCCATTGCCATTGAGTCAATTCTGACTCATAAAGACCCTATAGAACAGATTAGAACTGTCCCATAGGGTTTCCAAGAGTGGCTGGTGGGTTCAAACTGCCGACCTTTTGGTTAGCAGCCGAGCTCTTAACCACTGTGCCCATCCAGCGTCACGCTCTATAAATTCTATGCTTGGTTTAGTTACTCACCCTTCATGTGGGAAACACCTGTAATATGCAGCTCCAGATTATAAGTGAAACCACCCTATATTTATTCCTACAACATTCTAAACAATATGTTATTTTTATGCCACATATAATTGCCTCTTTGTATTATGGTAATACTAAATATATTAAGCAAGCACCCATGATATGCCTGTCATTGAACCAAAATCACTACAAGATTTTCCATTGTTTGGAGGGATGGAACTGTTCTATACTTTTATTTGGAGCCCTGGTGGCGCAGTAGTTATGAGCTCGGCTGCTAACCAAAAGGTTGAGAGTTTGAATCCACCAGCCACTCTTTGGAAACCCTATGGGGCTGCTCTACTCTGTCCTACAGGGTCACTATGAGTT